CCCTTGCCATCGACTGCCCAGCCTCTGCGAATCCAGTCCACTCCTTCCAGGATTCTGGTGATCCTGGTGACAACAAAACCTATTCTTACTACGTATAATGACTGTCCCGTACAAAGCTTTGGTGAGAAATCCTTCATTATTTCATAGTAGCTGAAACGCAATTTTAATGAAAACTTTTGGACAACTCACTATCGGTTTCGCCTTTCTTGAGGTTGATAAGGCAGGCTGTGTCCTCGAATTTCCGTCAGTTTTCTTTATACCCGGTAAAAAAAGCCTTATGCACACACTAGTACGACGCGCCTCCGACTTGTGAATTGCGTTCTATGGAAAAATGTTTCGTAACTTTGTGGAGACGTTTGTAACCAATGTGGTGATGTTCCTTCGTCTCCAATAGAGGCTCTCAAGCAATACTCTCTTTTGAAATACCATAATGATTGGAACAGTGAATCAAGGATTCACACAGCAATCGCAAAACCAAAACGCTTACAAAGCAACTTAAGGTTAATGGCAAATTCATCCTTACCGTATTGCTCAAAAAGATTTTTTTAAAAACATCCGGGATTTTGAAAGCGCGTATTGCAACTTTACTTTCTGTTCCGCCCACTACGGTATATCAGAAGGCATGGTAGCTTGGAACAACCTCTAATTGAGGGTACGAAAGTTAGATAAAGCTGTATCCAGGACGTTATCACGGAATTTTCCACAAGGTTGAGCCATAATATTCGTGATGGGGCGAGAAGCGCCGAGCTAATGTGCCCCATTCCGACTGGCCTATTTTCTCGCGAAGCTGAGCGTGCCTTCTTTACGTCCGTATTCTGCACACGGCACATCCGTCCAATCGACTTGAGGGGCGGTTATATCGGGCAGCCTCCTTCCGGACATTGGCCTCGTGATCTTGAAGTTAGATATTATACTGCACACTCAGTTGGATACCCCATCCACATTAATTATATGGAGAAATTTGTTATGCGTTAAAGGAACGTTAATATCTTGCTCACTAGTGCCTCCGCACAGTTGTGAATTAGCTAATGGAAGTGATATAATGCTTAATGAGGACTAGTTGGAATTCCTGGATCACGCTCACTGATCAGTCCGACAGTCTGACTGCTGAGGACCACTTAGATTGTATTGTTTCAAGTAGTCGCCGATAATCTTGAAGAGTTAAAGTCAGATTTTCAAAAATAAAACATTGCTACAGCATGCTGTTTGTACATATCAGCTCTTTACAGTGACCGTTCTTTTTCAAACCGGCGAAATTCTTGTTATTGACATCATGTAACGAGTAATAGCAATGTGCAACTTGTTAACTGACCACCAGCCTCCTCTCCTAACTTATTAGGTCGTTCTAGTTTTTCACTAGGGTACATCTTACTTCAACGCAGCATTCTGTCCTACCCTGCTCTTTTTAGTGACCATCTCCTACCGAGATCAAAAGCGGTCCTTGTGGAGAATACTTACTCTAGATATTATGTTGTCGGATAATTAAGTGCTCGGCCATAGAGACTGGATTTCATCGATTAAGTTTGGTGGATATTCTCAGGCAACTGAATGTGCTGCACCAGGCCACCTCATGTTTCAGTCGCTACGATATTTGAAATATCGCGATACATATATATTTGTAATGTACTACTCATAAGCTCGATGGATTTTCAGCAACCTTATGAGTAGTACATTACAAAAATACTTACTCTAGATATTATGTAGTCGGATAATTAAGTGTTCGGCCATAGAAACTGGATTTCATCGATTAAGTTCGGTGGATACCATCACCTGACCCTCTTGTTAGCGGATTCAGGCTGCTAACAAGATGCGAAACATGTTTTGCGTGATAATTCTCACTAACGGACTTGCCAAAGACCATTTGGCTTTCCTGCTTGGCACCTTGAAATGGTGATTTGCGTCAATTTGCTCGTGGTCACATGTCACACGCTTGGATGAACACGCAACTGAAAAATGGACATGGTTGATAAACCGGCGTCCGACTAGGCGCAGTTTTGTTTGCTTTGTGTGTGTTGGTGGCTGGGTACGATTATGATAAGTTAGCACCCAACATTTGTCGCATCAGTTACGGAGGTGATGAAAAGCGCAAACAGTATCACGCTCCCCTGATCGTGTGGCGCCCAAATACTGCATGGATGAAACAAACAGGTCAGGCCACTGGATGAATGCAGGTCAACGCTACTCGCGTCTACTTGATTTTTTTCCAGATTGAGTAAATTACAGTATGACTTTCGGTAAAGTTGTCGTGATTTTCATGTATATTTATTTCGATTTCCTAATACAGTATTTGTTTTGAACTATTAATGACAGCGTTTGCCTTCAGAGCATTTAGATTACTCCGTTCTTCTTCATTAAGACACAAGAACCTGATCAACCAGGTGCCGACATAATCCGTCTTCTTTTATCCCTATCGGTTTATTCATGATGATTGTTCTTTCCCATACGCTGCCAAGGTGTCCCTCTGAAGGGCTGTACTTATGCCGATTTGCATGTACCCAGTTCCTACAGAATGTTGTATCATTCGATTCAAAAACAATAGTATTCTCTCGGTTTACCCAAAGTTTTCCAAAAGTGTACTTCCATGTCTCCGGACCAGATGAATAGACTTTATTAAGCAGCCTGTTTTATTTTGTTGATTCTGCTTCACTCTGAAACCTGGAGTGGCCCTGTGGCCCTTCCATTATTTAACTGAGAGTAAGTGGACTGCTTTAACAATAATAAAACCAGTAAACCTAGTCTGGTCGGCAACTGCCGCCTCCCTCGATGTCGACCCCGGGACTCACCTCCATAATGGTTAATGACACTGACAGAAATGCTCCGGTCGCACAGTCAATGGCGCTCGTGCACCAAAGCCATCGCCTTCAGTACCTAGCTACCCAGTTCCCGAACTAACCAAGGCTTGGCCGTATTTCCGACACTCTCCTCTTTCTCGGTGATCGAAAACGTGGCATCTGGAACCAATGTACCCACGGTACACGGTTTAAGCTTATAAATTGAACTGATTGAAATGAATGACACGTGAAGACGTATCAGTTCCGCTGCCCGAACAACCCAAGTCTCACAACCATACACTAAAAACATCCCACACTGTAGCTTGATACACACATCCCTTGAGATTCAGGGATACACCACTTTGACGGCATAGGCGTTTCAAATTAGCAAACGCGACCTGAGCCTTGCAGATTCATGCATTCACCTCACCTGACACACTACACTCAAAACTATTGCAACTTCCAAGATACGTAAAACGCTCCGCAACTTCGAGTGCTTCCCCGTGGATTGTAAGTGGCGTGTTCAGTGACTGCAGATCCAAGAGCCTTACACTTTGTGGGTGCAAAGTGCATACCCTCCTTCTCGAAGATGAGAACGATGTCGTTTGCGTACTCCAGATCGACAAGGCTTTCTTCACAGGCTACTTGAACATAAGGGTTTTGGAAACCCTCCAGCGTTCGTCTTATTATTTCATCGATCACGAATTCAAAAAGGAATGGAGAGAGTGGACATCCCTGACGGACACCGCTTTGTGTACGGAAGCTTTTGGAGAGCTCTCCGTACACTCCCGCACGTCCGTAAGTCTGAGAATACAAAGAAAGTATTATGTTTACAAACTTCCGGGGCATTTCCTGATGGGCAAGCGGCCATACGCTTATATGTGTGGCGTTGTTCTAACACCTGACTAAGTGTGAAGATTCAGTTAACGCAACCCCTACCAGGCCGAAATCCCTCTTGCTGCTTTCGAGACAGTATATCACGAGCCACCTTAAGGCGACGGAGCACAGTTGACGCTAACAGTCTCGTCATGATCGGGGTCAAGCTGATACCCTTGTGGTTACCACATTCACTAAGCACCCCTTTTTTGAAAACGGGCACTATCACCGACTCACTCCAATTGTCTGGGACATACTCCCTCTCCGAAATGCAAGCAAACAGATCGGACAAACGCTGATTGAGGACTTCACTCCCGTCTTTGAACAATGCGGGTAGGAGGTCATCCGGGCCAGGATTTCGGTAGCGTTTGAGAGAACATACGCAGCCGTAAACCTCCGAGGCCGTAGGTGGTTCCATGTTTAGCGTCCTGGGTTCTACTTCACCTGTGGGCTCTAGATGTGTGCCAGCTGGTGACCACGAAGTATTCGACCCACCAGTCAAGGCGTTCCCCTTTATTCGAGGTGGTCGTTCTATTCTGATGCTTGATATAGATCCGACGGTTTTCGGTCCCACTGATTTATTTATCCCCATGCGAGTGTTTTGTGTGAGCCACGCACGAAAAGCAAGTGTTTGTATGATTTTCCAGTTGTTTGTTCTGCATGGTGTCAAACAATAAGTGAGCCCTGCGTAACATCAACGCAACTGGCCTTCCTGAACTTGAATCTACTATTCCTGTTGTCGAGCAAATAACACCTCCAGTTTATTTTGGAACGGTTTACTTCTACTCCCGTTGATCATCGCGCAAGAAAACCAAGCGCGACTATTCTACTACCTATGGCACCAGTAGCCTAATAAAATATCGTTTAGCAATAGCCCACAACTAAGCCAAAACAAACCACCACATGACTCAGCATAAAACGTTCACAACGAGAACTTATTCATATTCAAATCCTCGAGTTAAAAAAAAACAAATGCTGGTAAATTTTGGATAGAGGCATCCGTGGCATAGAAAATAATATACGTCAAAATCACAAATTGATAAGATCAATAAATTCACTTGGTGCGTGTCTCATCAGCCTGGGTTGCGCGCAAAAAATCAAAATCTAGAAGTCTGAAATGGTGGAGACCAGAGAAACCATCATCTTCTCAAGTGGTCTGGATTCATATGGAGATGATCCGTGAGAGCTCCAGAGTGAAAGGCCGCATGGGTGTTGTTTATTTCCGCTAGAATCTGTAAATTATAAAAATTAGCTAGCAGATATCAAAAATTAGCGTACATAGTAAGTTGTTTGTCTCACCTCCGTAACGACTGAAGGGTTTTATACGGTAATAATTAATCTAGTAACGAGGGCGTAGAGTAACTCGTTCTTTTCATGACAACAATCCTGAATCTAGTAACAAAGGCGTAGAATCACTCGTTCTTTTTCATGACAACCATCCTGAAGTTTGAGTGAATTTTTGTCCACCTGGTAGCGAATTCTTAAAAAAGCTAAGAATCTCTAAGATTATGGTATTCCGCCCTCTGTGGCTCCACAGTGTCTGCTTGGCGAGAAGCTACAGTGGTCCTGGTCCTCAACCGAGAATATGGCTGTAGCGCTTATCAACATCCGACATCTCTAGAACCGACGTGATATTAGCTTGGCTGTCAAGGTGAGACTGTACAACTCTACGGTCGGATCTCTGCTACGTTAGGGATCAAAAACAATCAAAAACATGACCAGTATGTACACAACTTTGCTGTCTATCTACATGTGACCGCCGGTGCCTTCGGAGTATTTCGCTGTTTTGGTAAAATATAAGTTCAATACCTGAGGTACATCAGATGGTTTTCGAGAGAGTTCACTCTTTCTCGACGGATTAAAAGGTCACACTACACAAATCAGACCGGTTGGACAATGAACTTCAGAGACCCATTTATATCGCGGAGCCCCCTTCTCCCAGTCATGTGTTAAATGAAGGCGATCCATGATCGATAAGCCTATGGTTTGTCAAAAAAGCACGAAAGTCCCTACTGATCAACTCTGTTGCTTTGGTCTATTCGGATGGGGACCCCGGTATGAGACAAATATGGTTGTGTGAAGCAGTCAGCAGCGAATCTGCAGCAGAGCTATTGCTTTCACTGCGTTTATTCCACTCCTTAACATACTGGACAGGTAGAATCATCTAATGACCAGGACCAGTTTGTACCATCGCTCCCAGACACTTTCTGTCATTTTCTGGTTCTAATTATCCTCGGCGAAAAAGCTGTAGAAGTTGGAACCACTGTACTTCCGTATATGGTCTGTAGCTGGCTGACGTGACCGACCCATAACAACCATTTCGTAGGCTTTATGCACTGAAGTAGTCCACTGGAAGCTGGGTGTAAAGTTAAACTTTCCATTCCATCTGTGAAGGCTTCAGATAATCAATAAACTCACAAATCCACAACTTTGGCAACATGGTAAATCTAACAAACGGTCATCAGCCCTTGTCATGTCGATCGGTTTGAATTTCTCTCTACCCGGCTAGAGTCATATGTAAATAATCAAACAAGACAAGTCTTCAGGATGGTGCATCTTGGTTCAACATAGGGAGCAATCACAAAACAAAAATTGGAGTACTCTGAGTGGTTCATTCAGCTCTAATAACTTCAGTCGGTTTTATAACTGAAAACTTATCCGAAGACGAACTAGTAGGTTAGGTTAAGCCACCACTGTGTCGAAACAGTGAATCCATTTCTTTGTTACATAAATGGCGGTACTGCTTGTAATACATAAGTAGCTCAGAAGAATACTAATTCATTGGATTTCTGAAGACTCCATCTGAGAATTCGGCAATCTAGAAGTCAAAACAAAAAGTGATCATGTAATTTGCAACCCACGATTGAAAGACGAGTGTCACTACATCCTGTCTATCACGAGCTAATCACTACTGATCAGCTACTCGTGGTCAATTGGTTAAGTGTTCGAACTGCTAGAGAGGAGGTTAGGAGTCTGAAACTTCCAAGAATTTCAAGAGATGCGCACTGATGTTCATTCAACATAGATTAGCTTCAACTACAGGAGGAAATATTCATTGAACATTACGTATTTTCCTCTCTTTTTACTGGTGCACTTTTTGCTCGCTGGTCGGACAGGCGTGAGCCACTGATGTGCTTTGTTAAAATCACTACCCTTCTGTAGACTCACGACATTATTCCTGTATTTGAATGTATGAAATTCAGGATCATATTAACCATTTGCTTTGTTCACTTCCTGAACTGAGACCTCTAATTGAAGTGCGAATGCATACAAGTTTAGGAAGCAGTGCTTACCTTGAACGTTGAGACGAAGTGTGCTAGAGGAAAATACAGGGAATAACAATGATTTGTTTAAAAACTGGAAGTTTTTCATGCTCAAAAGACCTCAAATTCAACTCCATCTATCTAGACTTGAATTTTCTGTCACCAAGATTCATTAGTGAACAAATCTATTTACACATCGGTAGACCAGCTACATGTTGTAACTGTCGTACAGAAGAAACCAGTCAAAACCTGCTGTTCTTGAATGTGATTTCATTTTATCAAGAGAGTGAGTTAACCATACTGCATGGTTAGTGAGACTGATGTCCCTGACCAGACATATGTAAATCCGAAATGACAGGAAAGTGTGCCTGTTCGGAAAGGTTTCCACTGTCACGTGATTTGCGGGAGACAGCTGGAATGGCTGGATTAGTTAGTGAAGTTAGAGCAAAGCACGTGAAACTGAACAACTGAACAAAATGGACCAATCGCGTTCATGGAGGAAACGCATGTTGAACACTCTAGCGTGCAGATGAAGAGATGAAAAATACGGAGAAAACAAAGTGGTTAGCTTATGTGTTTATTTACATTGCAACAGAAACAGCGGCTCTCCCAGTCTGGTTATTCAGATTAGAAAGTGAGCATGCGTCAGTCTCCAAGCTCATTTATACATTACCCACAAAAATTACACAAGAAAATCTGGGTCCTCAACGCAATAATTAATCCTATCGTGGTTTATGTCTTCGAAACATGATCTACACAAGCAGGCCATATCAACTGGTGTTTTCGGGGGTTCCCAGTCTATCGAAATCGTCCAAAGATTAGGTCCGAAAATGTCGTTGTGACCTCTCATGCTAAACTCACTCCTTCACCAGTTATTTTAACAACGGCTTTGGCGTCTGTTATGCAAAAACGATGCTGAACTCACCAAGCAGCCTTCAGAGGTCGTCCTAATGAGGTCATCTCATGAGACTGATTTAAAAGACATGACTTCAGTTAACAATGGGTCGTATACTAAGTACAACCCTAACCGAATAAGGTATCCATGCCTAGCCCATATATCCAGTTCAAAGGAACATAAGCTTCGAATCATATATGGATCCACATGACTTCAGTTAACAATGGGTCGTATATTAATTATAAACCGAACCGAATAAGGTTTCCATGCCTAGCTCATATATCCAGTTCAAAAGAACATAAGCTTCGAATCACAAATGGATTTTGAGCAGATTAAAATAAGAATCCATTAGTGTATTGTCTGCCGTGTTGGTTGGTGCCCAAACTAGTCTTACGGAATAATTGTACAATAATGTAGGTAGATATCCTAATCATGTACTATCTAAGAGGATGTGCTTCCAAGGAAAGCGTGATTTCGGCCGGTCCGGAGGCTTGCGTTACTCTGGAACGGTATTGTCGGCATCGTGATAAAATATGTGACTAACAAGGCCATGTTTTACATTTCTATTTCCATCATCATCATCATCATCATCATCATCATCATCATCATCATCATCATCATTATCATCATCATCGTTGTCAGCTATAAGAACAGCGTACTTGTCTTACAGTGGTTGTAGCTGCCGCAGTTTCATTCACCGATGATTCGGGGTAGGTGGGGTAGGTATCCTCTCATTGGAGGTGGGAGCTGATAAATTAGTGCGTAAATACAACACTGTAGGTGGACTGTTAAGTGGAGGATTGGGAAGGGAGATATGTATTGAAGTCAATAGTTCGGGCGCACGAGCGCCATTGAGGGCGCGACCGGGCCATGTCTGACAGTGTCTCTAACCATTGGTATGTCCCGTTTCGGGGTCTCCCTCTAGGAAGATGGCAATGACCAGCACAGCTGAGTTTGCAGGTAATGGCTGTCATACTTTGCTGCCAAGTCATTGTTTGACCGCCTCTGGCTCTCTTCCACCATTCACGTGTTGCGGTGCGAAAACAGCCCTTCGAGGAAGTTGGTCGACTGGCATACGCAGTACGTGACCAAGCCGGCGCAATCTGTGCGATGTGATCAGTTCCTATATCGAGGGTGAGTTATTTCTTCCGAATGCCATTCGACGTACTTCAGTATTACTTATCCGGTTTTCCCACCAGATTCGCACAATGTCCTAAAGGTATCGATGGTCAAACACTGAAGGTCTTTCGACTTCCTCGGCGCGTAGCGGCCAGTTTTCTGATCCGTATAGTAATATAGAGCGCACCCCAGCATTATAAACTCGACCCTTGATAGATAAGTTCATGTCACGCCTACGTCACAGGTGACGCGGGTTCACAAAAGCTGCTCTGGCATTCCAAATCGGGATGAAAATATCATCTTTCGCGAGACCATCGGGACTGATACAACTGCTCAGGTAAACAAATTCGTCTACTACCTCAATCGGTTCATCCGCAAGCATGAGGCTGGGGCAGTCTTGAAATAGCACTTTACACTTCTCAGCTGTGAAGCCCATGCCGAAATGTGAGGCAGAATTATTCAGATTATTTAATTTGCATCACCTTACCACGGGGTCAGATCAAGGTGACGTATGTCATCTGCGTACTCGATGTCTGTGAGCGGAGGCCCCGGGAGCATTTCGACCCCACAGGCATTAGAGGCTGGTAGTGAGTCTTCCATAACCGTATCTCCATGTTTGCATATCAGATAGGCCTCCTCTCTTTCTTCTCTGGACTAGTTGACCTCATTGGTCACCACGTGCTCTGTTTCGTCTACAGTGCCTGGTCAATCTACTTACACAAATCCTCGTTCGTGAAATTGTCATACATAGTTTTCCCACTCGTTATCATAAGCATATCATATCAAGCGTCAAACGCTTGATTGTCACTTCTTGAAGTGTAGCTCCTGCTCCATCTCGTGCCCACCAAACATGATTAAACTCGAAACAGTAGGACAGGAATTTTGAGGAAGATTGAGTAAGACAGATATGTATACGTTAACAACAAAAAAAAGACTTACTTATTTCGAATCCGGCACACCTAATTCTAAGCTAGAAGGTTTTATTCGCTAGTCTTCCGTTTCGGTTGACCGTAAACTCTGTCGATTTCGTTGAAAAATTCGTCCGATCCGATGGGATTTGGCTACATCAATGAATGAGTAGTTCGGAAAAGTCTCATTACATGTCCATAGACAGAGTTGTCGGTTTACAAAGCAGGAAGCATTGCATTTGATGTGAAGCTTTTGGGTAAAGAAAAGCAGTCGCTGTCAAAGAAAGTTCACAAAAAACAGTCTGTATCTTTCTAGGTTACTTCAGGGGCTGCATAGTGATTTAAACATGTTCTCTAGACTTCGGCTTCAAAATGTCTAAACTTGCTATATCGCCAAGACCTTACCCGGAATAATGGATGCTGGTATTCAACAGTTAGAGCAGACGGTGGACCAATGAAATGGAACAGAAGCTGGATAGTTGTGTACTCGGACCTGGTTGCTAACGGACTACTTGAGCACCAGCGATATGGGATAATCCTTGGGCCGACTTGCATTTCTGCAGGAGATATTCTTCGTAATGTAATATCAAATAAGTAAGAACCACAATATCCCCAAGTGCAGCTTGTTCCATCCTCAGGAGATCTACGCTCAACGCACTTATTATAAGTCTGTCTGGCATGATGGAATGCAAACAGTTAAGAAGCTATCCCATTTGATACGCAAATGAGTGTATTTGTCGAAATCTGTCCGATGGGGGTTCGAGTAGAACATAAGGTTGACGGAAACTCAGAGATGATGATGAACCTCAAGAAGGGCAAAACCGGTCATGGGCTATCGAAGAGTCTTCAGCAACATTATGTGTAGTTTCCTCTTAGTCAGTAGGCTAATTTATGCATTTCGCTTTGTACGACTTCCACCATTGACATCCGAGAATTGTGTCCAGTGACAACTTGATGCTTCCTAGCCGTGACTTTTGCACTGGTGAAAGATAGGAGTGCTGGACAAGCCCTCTAGCACAAAATTTGTGGACAGTGAGAACATGAGATTTATCGTACACGTTATCGTCATCATCATCATCATCATCATCATCATCATCATCATCATCATCATCATCATCATCATCATCAGAGAAAGCAACTGAGTGTTGAAAACGAAGTATCACAGCTGTACAAACACAACGTCTGTCTAAACCCTTAAAATGGAGAAAAGATGAAAGATTGAACAAGCAAGGAACCTAATGGTTTTGTCGCGTCGTGAACAGTGTGAGAAAAAAATATCCAAAACACAAGAGGATAGTTGATAATGATGGGCTTGAGCTCCAAACAATAGCTTTCGTCCACATAGGTCGATTGGAGACGAATGGTGGGAGGACAAGTTGTGGACACATATTTACACGAAAATGCCACCGTCATACTTCAGTTCAGTGGATTACCGGTCACATTCTGGAAAAAACATGTACGGACAAAGTGGATTGATGGTCCGTCTTAACCGGTGGTCCCTTAGATACAGCATTTTGTTTGCGTACCTACAGTCTGAACTCATTCACCTAAGAGTCAATCAATTCGATGTAGGTGAAATATCCATCGCTTGGTAACACAGATCCCTTTGGGAAGGATTCATAGCGTCTCTTCATCAATGTGTATCTAACTCTCATGAAGATTTTAACGTTAAGTCCATGGAGAGTTCGTAAACTTCAGTGAGTGAGGAGTTCCCCTTAATGGCTCCACAAAACTTTAGACATATGCTGAAGAGTGAAATGATGAAAATCATACTGGTGCTAGTCTCCTCAGATTTGGGGTTTTCCAGTAGTTTAGACCGCAAAAGACCCCCCCGACTGCTCAGTGAAAGGAAGCGACAGGTTGCCGAATTTAGGTCCAAAAGTTTACTTCTTGACTATTTCGGCTGTGACTGCCAATTATTCTTTGTGGCTAACTAACCACATTTGAGGTATTCTCAAGGGGCGTCAAATTTTCCGCTAAAAGGTATAATATTTCCCATGTTTCTCTTGAGATTCCTGGGTTTATGGTTACGGTTTGACGGCCAACACTGACACTGCGGTCAACAGGTTTGTATGACTCATGCTGTCGTGCAAGTCTGGTTCGACCGGAAGGTTCCCATCGTTCGTCCGGCCGGCGAGCTCAGCTTCAGCAAGCTTGACTGTCTGTCCGCACTCATCGGCACATAACGTGATTAAGCTCAGGTCACATCCCAAGCATGATGTGCAAATCGGCTCTCCTGACCCAGCAGCATCGGTACACCGCCGCGATCGAGCAACAGGATGATTGTGGTCCTCTTGAATGTGTACCTTCGTGTCTGACGAGGGAGAGCACCGTCGCAATAGTGCGTGTCACACGCAAGTGCTCACATGTGCAAGCTGTGAGTCAACGCAATGTGTGAACTGGATTGCCGGAACTTCTGGCAGCGTCCAAAGTGCGGCGTTCGAGGTTCGGACTTTTGCCGGTATGTGATCAGTCGAAACTACGAAGATTAGTCGCGCCAGTGTGTCCATTCCGGTGCTGTCTGGTTGCAACAATCCCCTATTCGGTAAACTGGCAATTACACGGAGCACTGGAATTGACTAATCGTCAACACAGAACCGGGAACAGTAGGTTGTGTTCACCTCACAAGTTTAATCAGCTTTACTAACATTGACCACTGATGTTCGGCCGGACAGTACTGGGATTGAGTCTGGGGGGAATGCGCAATCATTCCAGTGTAATGTGGACAGATCGGGTTAGATTAAATGAACTAATCAATTTGATAACAGTACTGAGCACGCAACAAGTACCAGCAGAGGAAATGTTTCAACATCAGCGAATCGTAAGCGACTAACAGCTCTACGAACCTTCAAGTTAAGGGATCATGAATGACCACGCTAAATTTGCTCAATGAGGAATTCGACTGAGGTTGCAGATGTACAAATCTGCAATCTTCAGTACCAGCCTCAGAACAACCAGAAACCAGCCTTCATGATAACCTTGAGTGAAGATTAAAGATGTTGGGGGAACCGTTGCACAAGGGTCAATGATGGAATAGGAAAGACGTTGCTCGCGACAAGAGCTCTTTATTCTTTTTAAGAATTATTTTGTGACATTTCGTCTGACCCGTACAAGGTGTTCGGCTTTGTGAGCCCCACTGTGAACAAAAGGTTTCAGCCTTTTGAGATCCAACTACACTTTCTATAAAACAGCTTTATCCTAGAATAAATTAGTGAAATAATTTCCCTTAATTGGCGCTTTGCTGTTAGCGCTCCATATTAAAGACATTAGCCTAGAATCAATCGATGTTTACGAAAGTCTTCGTGGCTATTTCAAGAACAGTGAATGTAACGCCCACTTTGTACTGGAAATTTGGTAGCCTGGAGTTGAAACAGACACTACATCTCCGAAATCGGACAACCGTAGAGATGTTTTGGGTTCAAATCAGTTTCTTTTAGTTGAATGGACTCATATTTACTTTTTCTAACGAATTCTACCTTCCCATGTTCCTCGTGTCTCGTGGTGAACTTCTGCCTACATGTAGGTCGGTCACCAAGTTGGAGTTAGTCAGGATGTGTTTTGAACCCAACTCCAATATATCGACTGTTGCTGTTCAGGCTTGGGTAACCTGGTGCTACCTCAAGTATTGTGCTTCCTTCGGGGGGCATGGCAGCTAGGCACCGAATGTTTATCACAGCTGAACGATTACGATTGCGAATTATAACAGTTAGTAATAAAGTTCATCGGGAAATTAACACTGTTTAGCAACGATACTTACTTCTCTGCCTCCGTCCCTGTTGCAAATTTTCTTGCTCGCATGATGTTTGCAGTGATACTGACTTGTGCTTTGTGACTTAAATGAGGGAGCTGAAACGCGCGTCGGTTCAGCATAAGGGTGCAAAGTTCTATTTCTGCAAGTGACCTGGAGTTGTCTTTCCCTCCTGACTACGCGTCGCTTCATTTTTGCTTTCTTGGATGACAGTAGTGGTCGATAATTGAAGCCAAATTTGGAAAAACCGCCTTCTACTCGCCTTTCGCGAACCGTAATTTTCCCGTTCGACACAGCGATTTCACGTGGTTTGGACTGCAATTGATCCTTCTTCATGCACCATGAATTGTTTCCAAGTCTTGTAGAAGAGATTTGATTGGAAATGGAAGGCATATGAAGGATATCTGAACTCTGACGGTATTTTAATATTGTACTAGAATAAATGCTATTTCGTCTTGTCCAGCTGGTTTCCGCAATGGTGTCTGTTGACAGAAAAGACGCCCAACTGCTGATCATACACATTGGCATTCGCTGTTGTGGATGTGTTTTGACTAGATTAGATGAGAACCCTTCCACTACGGGGATAGTAGAAGGACCAGTTGGAGAACAGACGCGAGTATTCATCAGTTCGCTAAGTGAAATAACTGATAGGTGTGAGAGGGAACATGGTACAAAGTCCGTTTCAGCAAGGTAGTAAAACGTCCCTGGGCAGTTCAACAGATTCAACCAAACAGTATGGATCGGTGCGATCCACAGTAAGGACCGCACGGCTGAAGACGAATAGCCAACGGCCTGTGTATGGGTCTGGTGCAGCGTGACGACTGATTCTATGACAAAGCTGAGATGCCTATCCGCAACAGGAGTGTTCCAGCTTACCGAATCAATCACAGATGTTGTACACAACTTTGCAGGAGGCCAGCGTATGTACAGGTAGTCGTAATCTGAACACATAATTCTGTTCCCCACTGCGAGTAGTCCATTTTCGACCACAGAGGAATTCGCATAGCTTTCGGCTACTCCAGGCAGTGGGAGAGAGGTCTCCTTAGACGGGACTGTAGGCAAGCCTTGAGCCGAAGAACATGACAGTTTAATACTTTGAACCTCGCCTTCTCGCTGTTCTGTATCACCAGGGCCTACCTCAGACAAGGCACACGAGAGGAACACAGAGACACTGGATTGTTCGACGTCACCCACATTTGAACCCGTCAAGGAAATATAATCAGTGTCTGATTCAGGCTCAAGATTACAGGTGGTGACCTCCACGTCCCCTGTTGTATCATTTATCCCATCAACATTATCACCGCTCTTTGCCGGAGGACTACACATTTTAAAATCAATATTCGTTGCGTGCTCTGTTTTGTTGACAGATCGCAGCTTATCCGGAGCAGACTCAGCTCTCTTCTGGCTGGTTGGTGTCGTCAGACTTTGATCAATACGTTGATCTCCCAAGTCAACCTGGTTTGTTGTGTAACCTCCAAGTTTACTTGATTCTGTGCATTTTGGTCCTGTCAGAGTGTGACAAAATTGAGCAGACACGATGCTGCGTGTTCGATAACGATTGCGTCGCGCTCTATCACAACCACCGTTTTCTGTTATCCACCACTTCTCCCCTTTCAGTCTTCTTGATTCATTTAGCAACTGGTCAGATCCACTAGGAAAGTGAGGCGAATTCTCACTGTCACCCTCAAAGACAGATTTTTTCCCTTCGAGATTAATACTATTTGAATTATTGACTCCAAGCTCTTGGTAGTGGCTGCATTCAACCACATGACTGGTGGGGCTTGTGGGCGAAAGCATAGTTATGGGCCAAGCTTCTACACGTGAGAATGGCAAGTCTTTGATTGGACTGTGCTTTTGCGTCAACCTGCCCGTCCAATGCTGTCTTTCTCTACCCTTCCTTTGAAGGCGAGTTCTCACATCCTCATGTTTTTTGGTACCACCTCCCCTAGGTTTTGCATCCTCTTCAAACAAGAAAGGGCTAATACAGGTCTTACGTAATCGAGGTTGTGGTCTTGTGGGAAGGCAGACAGGCGAATCAGATTCCGAACCAAAGCAGACCAGAACTTCACATTCTGAAGATTCTAGTGGTTCCTGTTGGGAGTTATCATGGCTTTTTGACGTTAACTTTTCAACCTCACTAGCGTCGCAAACTCGACACTCAGGGTCCGATATCGAAAAACTCGCACCCACTGTTCCATGATCCGGAATCTGGTTTGAAATAATCTGGGATTCTTCACTTTCATCATCCGGATCCGCTTGTTCGGATTCACTCAGCATGCCAGAACTATTCACAATGGACCAGCGATTTGAGACAGATAGTTTTGGTGAGTGTGCGAAGTTGTCGGAACTGCAGTCTGCACTCTGGTCGCTAGACATCGTTGGTTCAATCACAGTGATAGAGTGGGACTTGCTGAGCGATTCGGAGGAAGCACAACGCTGTTTTGCCCCGCTAACACGGGGTGGCGAAAAGTCCCATTGTCCCATGGAACTGACACTTGTGGGTGAGGAAACCTCAGTTTCAGAACTTGGTGTCGTTGGTCTAGTACTCGTCCCCACCTCCTGTCTTTCGAAGCCTTCCGATTCCTTTGTTTTGGACGATGATATGGTGAGCCGGTGAATACCCTCAGTCTTCTGACTTGAGCACGACAGAAGTAGTGTTTCTGAAGCTAATAAACAAGCAAATGAATAAACCTGTTTGACTTTATCCTCTTTAGTGTACATTGTGTCTTCATTGCTAAACGACCGTGGGGGTATGTCTGGGAAGCTGAAGACCCAACCGAACAAATCCGGGTGACTGGTTTGAGCCAACTGTTGTCGAACGGGCTGTCTAGTATGCAAGTAAGTTGAATATTTATAAGGTTCTTCCCCACAGAGAGTGACCAAATGGCTTTCTTGCTGTATTTCATCTGTTAGAGGTCGATCAGAAAGTAAAAAACTACACCAAACTTCTACTGGCATTGACAGTACTTCAGGCCTATAAGAAATACGATTGCTGACAGCATAGTGATTTCCGTGGATATGTTCATAGTTGAATAAAATGCTGGCACAGAGCACTTCGCAAACTTCCTCATCAGGTATAAGAAAGATGAGCTGCTGTGTAAATCCGTAAAGATACTGGAAAGCTTCCGTTGTATAGATAGATGGCTGAACACCCTGTGGCCCTGAGCCGTGCGTCCAAAAATAGTTCGAAAGTTCAACTGAACTTGTGGAGTCTGATGAATCGATGAATTGTCCAGCATTTTGACGTTGCACGTGCTTACTAGAAGGAACTGATGAACGGAAGCCATTCACATTGTCCCACCGAAAGCTCATTTCGTTAAGTTCCGGCGAATGAGTTTCTTCCCTAAAACCATCTGATTCCTTGATTGTATGGTCAGTTTTTCTTTTCCGTATTCCACAGGCTTTTGCACTTGTCATGTGGCCTTTCTCAGAAGTGAACGATTTCTTTTTGATTTTCAGTCTGTCAGTTTGCAGAGAGGAAGAAAAGTTTGTTTTCTGCCGTAATAAGCCACGTCCCTTGCATCTCCAACATTGTATTGAATAATGTCCTGTAGGTATATCTATGATTATCAATTTTATCTGTTGTAAACAATGACCAAGGGCTCTTAGATCCACTGTAATCACGTTAGGTGTTTCTTGGAACTTGTCTCCGACTGATTCATACGGATACTCAGATTCTGCCAAACAAACATCCGCGTGGTCGAAAACGATGTGCGAATCGCATGTAATTGAATTTGTCGCTGCCGAATTGTTAACCGTCGGTATACTAGTCTCCCCTTCACAACCCCCCGAATTCGTACTGTGCGTGGACCAGTTAGCTTCTTTTACTGGACACGAACATTTATGAAGCGTGTATTGCCCAGGTCCTAATTCAATATAAATTAGCTTTTGGTCAGTATCTGGTGTGTTCGGCATCCTCCACTGACACTGTCGTGTGCCTCGATTGCGATGGACGCACGGACGGATACGTCGCCGCTTTCTTCCTGTTGGAGCGATTATCAGTACTCCATTGTTCAGTTCAGTTACTCTGGATCCATTAAAATTGCAGTAGCACACTGAACGTCTTCTGCCTAGGTGCCTGCACCAGACACCAGCATCACGGACGACTCGTCTCGTGTTCAACTCATTTGATTGGGTGAGACAGCCCTCACAGCGTCTACTAATCAATCTCCCATGGGAACAGTTTGAATTTCCGTTGGAATCTGTGTCACTGTCAGTGAGAAACGAGTCGTTCTGCACAAACTCAATGGACGATCGTTCTAACGACACGGCACGCAACATAGAAAGGTGTGATATTGCGTTCAGCGGTAATTTTGAATTCTGCATATATTTTGACGTTAAAACCATAGCTCGTTTACTAGGAGTAGTTGGTCTCGTAAGTATGTCTGTCTTCACTCCATCAAGTCCGTTATTAGCTGTCGTGGCTGGAGCTATGCACAAATTCGCTCTTGCCGATTGCATATGACGTACATCCTGTTTGTGCATAACGACTGTATTCAATGTAGTCAACACACACTGTGTGGTGGGCAGTCCAACTGTTGTGGAAACCCTCTGCGATTCAGCTCTTTGACACCGACGTAGTGGATTGTTGGTCGAAATGGTGGTCCAACTGAAACGTCGAGGACCACTAGTTAGACTTCTTGAACGTAGTTTTTGTCTCCCTCCAGTGTATCTTTGCGGTGTATAGTTTCGCAGTATTCGGCGACCCGTAGCAATCGCGACTGGTCTAGGAGTGAAACAGTTAACCACCAGGTCACGAGCTGCTGTATGCCTGAATTCAAATTGTTTAGCTACACCCTTTACCACCGAAACACCTAGATTTCCCGGTGATATTCTACGTTGTGATTCCGCTACAGAGACTGGAGTCGCACTCAGGCTTGTAATAACATCCGGTTCGTTTTGGGAGCATACTAATTTCTGGACTAGGCAATATTCGAGATTTCCGGTAGTACAGAGTTCGTGTAGTTTGTATTCTCCAACAGTAGCACGATTTCCCAAACACCAAGATGACCATTTCTGAGTAAACTCTGGAACACAAATAAGTTGTCTCTCAGAACGATCACTAAACGATCCCGCTGCCTCTGGTACAAAGGTAGATATTCTGCTCCAGGGAAGTTGGTTTTGTACGGCTAGCGGTGGTATATCACCATGGCAATAGTCTGGACTGGGAGTAGTTTTATGTCCAGGAGGCAGTGTGCGACAAGTGATCGGAGCAGAGTACAAAAGTGGGTCCACAGATGGTATAGACGCTACTTCAAAGTAACCTGGGCTCAGTTGCTCAACCACATGGGGTGCGTCGTCAAGAACAGGCGATGGAATGGCATCTGTTGTGACGGGCCTTAAACATTTATCGTTTGCCATGCAGGCCCGATCTAGGACAGAAGCATGTGGCCGATCGAGTCCTTGCATTTGATAAGCAGTTAAGTTTGAGAAAGCTTGGGCACTTCTTCGCAACTGGCGTCCGATATCCAGGCTTTTGGACCGAGATATTTTGCTCATTCGTTTTGGTCTAGATTTGAACTGTGAAACTGATGAGGGCTGCAAACACTTCTGATGTGATTCGACTAGCCGGCTGACCAAATTTCGCAACACCGGTTTGAGTTCTTGGAGCACAGTTGACGGACGCTTTGTACTTGAAGGTGAATTCAACGTTACTGAAGAAACTTCAGGTTCTGTGAAGTTATCATGCTGCGGATCGAATTGATATTCCAAACGAATTCTATAACGTGACTGTTGCTTGTCTGTCCCATTCCTCCTGAAGTTCGTGTGACCATCTCCTTCGGAACATTTAATTGAAGCCTCAAGGATGCTCTCCTCGTAGCTACCCTCGTCATTTTCACGAGTTTTATCCAAAATAAAGTGCCCACGAAAACGTGTTAGAGGAGCAGGTGATTTCATGCGTCTTTCAATCCGTTGAACTGGCTCGACCCCGTGGTTGGATGACTGTACATCAGTAGCGTCATTTTCTTCCTCATGGAGGGACTGCATAATAGATGCACCACCAGCTGAGTCAAATTCTTCAGTAAACATCCAAGAATAGTAAACGACCAGTGCCTGAGATGTTTTCAGTTAGCTGCCTGCTCAATCATTCCAACACAATCTATGCTTTTTCACAAGTCTCTGAATTTATGGACATGGTTATCCTGGTTTTGACGTTGCTCGCTGTTACCCCAGTCTGATTCTAGTGGTTGGCCAAACGGGCCCGGCGTTTTCTCAGCCCAGAAGCCGATTCAAATTATCCGAGCTATCAATAGATCACGTGAAAAAATGCACTATTCACACGTACTAAACGGCACGATCACACAAAAGAACGGGATGTTGACAGTTCTTGAGGGACGTGTAGTCCGTAAAATCTTCGTTGCAATAAGTATTTGACGTGCTTCATAAATAGTGGCGAAAATTTTAAGTCAGTCAGCATAGAAGAGTATGCCCATTTGCAAATCAATTTGGTTTCCAAGGGAGACTCAAGCGATTCTCTCGTTTATGATGTTTTGAATAATGAGACGGCCTTTGTGCAGTACATTCAGTTGAAGAACATCATAAACGAGAGATTATCTTGAGTCTCCAAATTGATTAGCGAATGAGTGTAGTTGTAATCAGTCCAGTTTGGGTTCAAGTACAACATAAAGTTGACGGAAACTCGGGGACTGCGCCTAACTGGTGTGGCAGGGGAGAAAGGTCATGATATGTTAATAAGCCAAATATCTGTGACAACTGAGCTGGCGATGAAACAGGCCAACAAACTGATGCAGTGATTCAGCGGGCCCGAAATCGTGTGCGTCACTGTGCAGTATAGATCCGCAATCGACTGATACACTGTCTTGACACTTTTATTACAGAATGAGGAAGTTAATAAGTAAGCACCTTCACTAAGTTATTTCGAAACGCACTTTGGAATACAAATTCAAGGTGGATCGTCTTTTAAAGCACTCGAAGTTTTAGAGGTTGGGGACACAGACATTGGATGTAGTATGTTCTTAGAAATGCAGAGGGATTAAACAAGTCAGCTGTACAACGTTATGGATGCTTGATGTCGAAAAGGTGCACTGCGAGTTTAAAGAACTGTTTCAAGGTGGAATGGAAGTCTGGCTCTGACGAACAGTTTTTATGGCAATACCGGTGAAACTAATCAAGAAAGGTTATTTGCGGAAGGTGTGAACGTTTTTGCATTCTAATTATCAAGAAACATGTGGTCAGACTATGTCCCAGGTTTTAATCATTCCTATCGACCAGTTGCAACATGCGACCTCCAAAAAAGGAAAACGCAAGTAGTTAGCGTGCACTTGAACTTAAAGGAAAACTTGACTGTTTAATAACACTTCAAGAATCACCATTCCGTATAGCGTGGTACGCGGCTTTAGACTTCTTTTCCTTACGCCCAGAACCACACAGCCCTTGCCCTAGCGTCCCATTAAAGGCCATCTTATAGATGAGACTGTTGTTGATCAGACTTATTATCCGATAACTCAAGGTAGAGTCAAGTGTGGAGGCGAAAAACCGACTTCTGCGTCCATCGTTTGTGTGCCGACTTTAAATAAATTCCTTATGGATAGAAACCCTCGTGAAGCCAAATCTAATGATTACTAGTCACGCGGCTCTGCTCGGAGAGCTTGATAATGTTTGGTCTATGAAAGTATTGATTGATTTTTTTTCCAACGGAACGCCATCGAGATGTTCGACCCTCCTGGATTGTTCACCTTCAATTGAGTGCTGCTTTAGGAGTTTGGCAATGAGGTTCTAGGGTCTTACCTAACGTTTAAACTTGAAATGAATGCTTGGAAGGACTGTACAGCTTCCTCGTTAAATATTATCATCTAACAAAATCTGTGGGGCAATTAGAATCGTGACATTTTGGATAGGAGTTTGAGGAAATCATGTTAGCTGCAGATGACTGATGGGCAGTGATACCAACATGTACTTTGACACGATCCAGCGATACTCATTCTTCAGGCGCACGGCTTCATTTGGGGGAAGCACGGACGTCTCTGGATCCGATTAGCACATTTATATTACAGCATCTTCAAGGTAATGCGGAGCAAAGGCATCAAAAACAAGATAGGTTTGCAATGAACTTGACCTTAATATTTCCAGCTGTCGCGTTCTCATATAGAGAACCATTAGTCAACTAGATCAGCCCAATGCTTAAGGAACCGGAAAATTCCAGACAGTTCTAGTGTTTATGGGCAAATGTGCGTGCTATGCCTCTGAGTTCACGACCAAGGTTCGTTGCGTTCAGGGTTTGTCGAATTCACGATAACATCGTGTACCGAAAAATATGTTAGCTGCATCGTAAATCAACCTTTCTCTCTGAGAAGAACCCAAAGATGTGAGATAATATCGACTCCATCAGTACTATTACAGAAGTTCTCTGATAGGTTCCGGCCCAAAGCTTGCTTCATCGCGCCTACAACACAAGAGGTCTGCAAAGAATGTACCCCTGTCTACCCAGACAAGGGCCCTGGTCTCCCAAACAATATTAGCTCAATAGCGAAGGCAAGAACGATGGATGGAGTCCTTTGTTGAGTTGAGTAAGGAGCTATGTTACGTCACTTGAATGATAAAAAAGAAATAAATGCAACGAGGTCAACAGAATATGCTTAGACTTCTTGATACTGGATACTACAAGATAGCTCACTAATGTGTCCAAGTGTGGGACCCACCAGCTAGGTCTGATCCCCAAAGTTCCGTTAGTTTTATTTCATGCCTCAGCACAACCTTGGAGGTAATTGAGGATAAACACCCATTTGCAAAGTAATTTATTATTAATGAGAGGTTCAGGAGTCTCAAGTGGAGTTCACTCACTATTCTGCAACTGACTGTGCTGCTCGGACTGCCTCAAGTTTCAGTGGAATGATATCTTCGGTTTCGAACCCATTGCCCTGATATCGCACAACCTTGAAGGCAACGGAACCTCTTGCCCTTCTGAGGAACATTGTGCACCAAATTTAGTAGGAGAATAGTAAAAACAAAGGATTCCCCATCACTTTATTTTGAAGATGAGTTTTCTATATACACAGGCCGCAATATCTATCCATGAAACTCAGGAAGACCATCGACTCGTTTCCCTCCTTTCTAGAATTACGTACCAATCTTGTCTGTATCATCAAACTATTCCAAAGGATGGGACTACGTCAACTAGTTTTCTGAATTTGAGTCGCAACATAGTTCAGTCTGATTAACATAAAAGTGCAGTCATCCCTATCTTAACTTGAAGATTGAACCAAATTAGAGTGCAAATCGGAGTGTGTGGCGAACTTGACTGAGTGCTTTGCGTCTGGAGTATAAACCCTTATAGGGCAGTCAGTTTGCATGATCGAAAACATGATTTTTGTGACATCCATCCAGTTGCGGGAAGCACATGGGCGAGAGAACGGGATGGCGATATCAGCTGATATAGGTCAAAGGTCAAACTAGCTAGAATGTTAAGCCAACAAACTGAGCTCAATGATTGCCAACCATCGAACGACAAGTAAGCTGCTCAGAAAGGGAAACATGAGCCTTCTATTATAGAAATCGCCTTTCAAGGAGTTGGTTAACATGAAGTGCGTAATTGAAGGACGAGTAGTGCCACATCTTGTCTGTGGTTTAATCACACTACTGGTTAGCCGCTCCTAGCCGAACGGCATATCGTTCTGAATGTAGTCTGAATATAGTTTTCCACGAAGATTTTCCCCATTAGGTGAATAATCCTCACATTCGGCTTGATTAAGGCACGTTAATACATGTACTCGTAAAGTTTGGTTCTCAGCTCCCATCGACTGTCAGGATGGTCAACTACCGGGATATATGATGGGTGCGTGTTCCAATGTCTACAAGCGTTTGAAGACCAGACGGTTGATTTACGAGCGACTGATGGGCAGTGTGATTCACTCACACTTAGAACAGCATTACTCACTTTTCAATCACGCGCTTCATAACGGGGAATCACGTACTGACTGGCTCCTCGAGCAACTATCTTAGATAGGTCAGTTTCACCTGCGGAACAGAGTCTCCGTTGAGTCTTTCGATACAACCGGCTTGAGTAGACACCTATGACTTCACACTCACTAAAAGAGACGTATTTCTCATTCCTGTTCCCTAGGAAATCAGTCAGCAACACGACGGCAAAAGGGAAAGTGCTGGAAATTTTCTGTGCAGGTGACTGTTTTGCGCTTTGTCTTAGTGGACTGGAGACACTGGACACACAAGTGCAGTGTGAGCCACTTGATCAAGAGAGCGGCTTACTCGCCAGGAGGGAAAGTGAGACTAACGGAAAGCAGCTCGTGAATCCACATCCAATTGTTTATATTTTGGTCGCAACCGTAGCGTGGGATACAAACCAGTACGAACCGACGCGCGTGAGGAAACTGGAACAGGTGTACCAAACAACGTGTGTAGGTTTCACTGGTCCTGGCAAGAGAGAAATTTGGTCCATTCGAAGATAAGACTATTCCGGATCGGCGTAAACGATACCCAAGATGAAAAGAGCTTTGTTTCTGGTTTAAGGACATAATGTACCCCTGACATGTACTATTTCAAGGTGAAGTAACGAAGAGCCTGGACCTTACCGTGGTGTGACGGTAAGCTCTTAGTCATGGCATTCCGAAGTATACTTATGAGCATGGCGCCTGCGCTGGTCACAATCAGAGGAGTCGTCGCGAATTTATCTATATCTGGAGTCACCTCCCCCCCTACATCAGGTTTGTTCGTTGTGAGAACGGTGCAGCACAAAATAATAGGGTAAAATCGTTTTACTGACGTTGAGTACAAAAATATACGGGATAACAATAAATGCACGTGGATATCTCTCGAGTGGAAAAATAATCTCTGGACACAAAAATAACGACTAAGTGTGACATCTAAGCAACCACGGTGAGGCGAGTACGACCAACATTGACCTGCCAGACATTGAGATTTTCGTAAGCGTCCACAACCTCGTTGACCTAAAATGAAGCAATATGATGGATGGCAGTAAAGTTCACATGACTAGTGAAGTACACATGAAGTTGGCCAAATAAAGTAATGGAAACAAGTGGAAAAGCACAAAGTATACCTGTGCAGGAGTGTAGCCACGCGCGGCACAACGCTCCATCACATCGGCAAGTCGTGTAGTTCCATCTTCCGCAGAGGTCAACTCCCGAATAATGTGATAGATGGCATCTTTGTAGGTTTGAGGACTACGGAATAAGGAAAAAGATGATTATTCCGGGAGTTCTCAAGTAGAATCAGAAAACGGGTATAAATAGACCGGATCTTAAGAGCACCGGAAGGCTCAGCATTACCATTCGAAGGTTTGCACCCGATCCCATTTCAGTGAGTAATGAAAAAATGCATTTTAAAAGTTCAGAAGATTGCCGAAGACGGACGAATAAGCTATGGGCCTATTGATGACTCATAATATATCTTTGTGGAACTAACGGACTAACGTCAGAGTGACCATGAGGCGAAAAATACGACAACCAGTACCATCCTTTACTTACCGACCAGCGCGATCCATATCACCCGAACCAGAAGTATTGATAGACGCTCGGCTCGCTTCCATTAGGCGCATTGCTTCGTCAATGTCGGATTTGCCAACCTCCGTGGCTGCGCGTAGCCGGGCACGGGCCGTAGACAGTCGCATGATCGCCAACAGAGTTCTGTAAATGTATACGGAACACTGACAACCATATCTGGTCGAAACATTCATAAATAATGCAGTTATCTTCTCTAGAAGGGACTACTTCTGATTGCAGATAGTCTGTAGCCTCATCAAAGGAGTAAACAACTAACAGTCCGTGTCGGAAGGCGATGCGATGTGAAGTCAATGGAGTCTGCGTACAATTGATAGCCCGGAAAATGACAGACTGGATGGGACAAGATATCAGAAGCTTCCAAAACAGAATTACGTTCCGTTACGGGAAAAAGGGATCACACAGTTACGCTACGTCATGTGCCTGGGCGGCGCCACATGCCGCTAACCAATGGTCGCGGTCCCTGCGGACCTTCGACTCTGAACAAGAACCAACACTCCTACAAACAAGTGGTGAAAAAGAAATCGTTCCAAGGTTGTTCGCTGTTTCGTACTCCGCAATCACACTTCTGGTAGTATATCAAATTGTTCAAAAGAAGCCCCACAACCAGTGGAGTTCACCAAGGCTGGTCTGCCAGTCCCTTTTGTCTAAATCTGTCACGGAGATCATTATGAGATGCAAACTTCGAAAGACATTGAGCTTTGACAAGGAAACTGAGCCCAAAAGGCCCACAAGATATGGCACGAAATCCGCCGCATTACTGACTGATATGTTTCCATCGCTGACCACGATGATGACATAGAACTGGTGATAAGATCCCCCTTCCCTTCCGTTAATGGGCAACGTTCAGCCTAGCCCAGCTGACCTAAAGAAAATGTACAGTACAGCCTCCAGGAAATAATATTAGGTCCATTGCGCCCACGGCTTGAAGACATTGCGTACGACTCAATCAAGTAGCAGCTGGTGCTACTACAACTTGGTGCTAGCGGATGCACACAATAAATACCCACAACTCAAAGCGATGAAATAGCGGACGCTCAGGGTATCCGTGGTGGTTTAGATAGATGATTGACACGAAAATCTTAGAAGCTGATGGTGTATGGATGTCAACCGATGTATTCAGTTATCAATGGAGTGGTCGTCGAAATAGCATCAGTACGTCTACCGATGCATTTCTCCTACTTCTGGCCCGACTAGGCTTTGTGAGGCGAACACTACTTGACGTCAAACCCTTAAAGCACTACAAATACGAAGAAAAACATTAGAATGGGTCACGATGCAAGCTCGGACTGAAAATTGATACGTAGAAAGCATGAAGAGTTACGGGAGATGCGCAGTTTTTAGTCACACAAAAAATATAGACAAACTTACCGGGCACTTGTATAGGTCATATCCTTGTTCACTCTGGCCTCCTTACGCATTTCCACATAAGCACCGACGAGATAATCTGCCAAATGGCTCGGCACCGTCGGAGGAGGTTGGGCTTTAGCAATCTGCACAAGGCGTCTCAGTTGAGACAGAGACAGTAAATTCTGTGAATTCGACTCCGTCGTTGATGGGGCTGATCCATGAATGTGAACATGTGTAATGTGCTGTGCCAGACGTAGATCGTGCTCACTTAAAATGCAAGGGGAAAGGAAGGTGGTAAACTACTGAATACCGTATATTATACATCGCAAGGTACAGTCACTGTCGCTGTTCCAAATACAAAGAACCCGATGGTATAAGACTGCTCCTTTTCGTGAGGATCGTTCCATACTAGCCCCCCCCCCGGGAAGAGACCACATGAAAGGGAGATTTTGGCCCCTTTTGATGAGAGTTGATACTTCTCCGAAGGGGTTTGCACCAAACCATGACTGAAAGCGATGTATAGTGGTTTTTTCAGGGGAGTAGCTTCCCCAAAAGGTCTCATTAACAGCTTCAAAACGTGTACATGTTGCACAGTGGTTAGAGAATCCCCAGTCACGTTCACTGGTCATTTGGCAAAATAGAGATGGATAGCTACGCACTGAAATGAGTGGCATATATCGCGGATTTAGGAGTGACAATGGACATTTAATTGGCCAGGTCAGCATTAAAGCTATGAGTTGAATGCATGCACACCACTGAGCTGTCTAAATAGTGATGTGCCCCGTGTCAGGGTCCTCACTCATGGAGACGGCAGTGACAAGCGCAGCTAAGTTTGCCGGTAACGACATCCATAATTTACTGCTAAGCCATTTCTGTATTGAACAAGGCTACAAAACGCAGCATATTATAGCTCATGAATGCGGTCACTCTGAGCGCCTAAGTTTCAACAAAACGTGTTGTGGTTAGTCCCGAGATTATATGACATTCTCTTCAAACCAAACTGGTATGCAATGCGGCAAAACGTTCAATTAACACGTTCTAGGATGGAAACATTGACTTGAAATACGACATGCTGGTATGCAATGCGGCAAAACGTTCAATTGACACGTTCTAGGATGAAACCATTGACTTGACATCAAAACAAACGTGGTGTAGTCAATTCACCGTCGGCGAAACAAGCTCCCACACTTACCGATCAGGCTTGTCCTGAATTAGCCACAGCAAGTCGAAACGGGACAGAAGAGCGGCAGGCAAGTCAATGTTTTGTTCAACCGATCGATTGGGGTTATAACGCCCATAGGCTGGATTTGCTGCGGCCAAGATGGCGACACGGGCGTTCAATGTAGTTAGAATCCCGGCTTTCGCAATGCTGATGGTCTGCTGTTCCATAACTTCATGAATAGCAGTCCTACAAGGAGCATCGGGATAGAAAACTTGAGGACAACAAGGAAGAGATGTATCAGGCTTAAAGCAGACATCATCCTCCAACGTAACAAAGAACACAATCATGTGTATCAGTATACAACCGCTCCGTTGAAATCGATGCGTCTAAAACCGATTACAGGATTGTCTCGAGATCTAAAGCCATATTCATTACCTGCTAACCAAAGTTAATCTGCTCAAGTCACATGGACTCAATGTTTCACAAGTGATCAAAGTGAAATACAGTACAGCTAGCTGAAGGATCGTGGCTCCATATCCTGTCTGAATGCAAGCTAACCACACCGCTGACCAGTGATTTATGGCCGTAAATGTCATGGTTGTAGCACACCGCGAGGTGGACAACGAATAAATTGGCAGAAGGGTGTGAAAGAGATCATGAAGAGTTTGGGTGTTGTATGCCTTCCAAAATGGAGTCCCCGTGACCCCAATTGTGGTTGGTTAAAGCGGTCTCAAGAAATGGCGACCAATCGATGTCAGTGATGTTCGTGCTGTCAGTTTCTTTCCAGATTGTCCGATTGAGCGCTTAGAGATGTAGGCACCTCAAAATGCTTGACATAGGCCGGCACTAGGTCCCCTCCCATATCCACTCTTTTTCTTTTCTTTCACACTCGGGCTTTAAATACAATTAGACGAACCTTATGGATGTACGGCAATGAAGCATCAGTGTCGACACTGATGTTTCTGCCTTTGATGATGATGATGACGAAATATGGCCATTCACCAAATAACCAAGATAGTTCAGTGGCTAGGGTACGAATATACTGACAGGAAGGTTCGTAGTGCAAACCCAACCTCTGCATCACGACTGCTCCTCTCTATTTGCCGGCAAACTCGCAGTATTTTAGCCCTCATGCATTCTTCAGTTGGCGCGGCAGCTAAGCACGGAAAATGGGCTGCGGCTAAGCGACTATTTTATTATCTTTTATTTTACTACTGGGAGGGTCGCGGATTCAAAGTGCATAGAGATTCATGAGATCCGGAAGGCTGTACAGTGCTCCACGACTATCCAACATAGATTAGCTTCATCTGTAAGATGAAATACCTATTGATATCCAAAACAGTCATTTTTCATCCCAAAAAGTCATGTAGAAATAGACTCTAAGGCTGAGAGAATCCTGCCAATACAGAGTTCTTAAAAACATATACTATTCGAATCCGCTAAGGAGAGCACCGGCAACGGAACTGTTAAGCTTGAAGTGTTAGGCCGTGTGACACTCGCATTAGTTGGGCGTATATTATTTTTAGCCAATCGGGCGACCAACAAACCGACTTAGAGAGTTAACAGGTCCCGAACTTGGGTCTGAAAGCTATCCTAAACAGATACCATTAACAGGCTGTCGTAATTTGAGCTCACTGCGTCCCAATCATGATATGCGGCTAACAGTTTGAGGGTTAGTAAGGCTGTCAACCCACGCGCATCCCCGGGGCATCACAAAACATACAATATACCGTCAAGAGCGTCATAAATACTCTTCTGAGAGGTCGGTGAGGAAATTCAGGCACCAAACAGCATTCATTGTTGAGATTCATTCAGCCGTCACAGGTAACCAGCAGAGATCGGGTTGGCCAAAGGTGGCTTTTCGGATGCGAACCCCGTAAAAAACCATCACCGGAAGTGGGCAACTCGGGCTTTGGCGAAAATACAGTTGTGATGACTGAAACATGGCACACTCGGGCTAGTCACGAGAAAACGATCCACCAAACGCACAACTAACTGTAGTTGTGCGTTAGGTGGATCGTCACGAAGAGACTGGACCTTACCGTGGTGTGACGGTTTGCGCACCTCACCGATCCATTGAGCTATGCTGGAGTGTTCCGCGACACTCAGAGTCTCTCACTCCGGGTTGGTCAATGGTTAGAGGTCTGACGGACACAATCTCCTGGCCCTCCAGGTTGGGGGTTGGAACATGTGGCGACTTGTTCCGTAGAAATGGTAATGCATTTGCATTTCCCGCCAAAC